CTATTTTTTTTTTAACAATTGGCGCCAATTATAATTGGCGTCATTGCAGTGCAAAGATTTTTTTTCTTTTAAAAATAATAAACAGTTACAGAAATACATCACTGACTGCATTGACGTAATTGTATACTGTGTAATAAAGTTTTTTGCTAACATAATTTTGATAATAAAAATTACTTGAAAATCTTATTCTTGCTATTAAATCCGAACTTTTTCAAATCCCCACATTGAGAACATTCTTCAAAAAAAATAAGCAAAAAAAAATTAAATTAATAATTATTGTAATTAATTATAAAAGTTACTCAAAAAACAACACAGTAAAAGCTTTAATAAATTAATAATGTTAAAAATATTTTAATAATAACTTATTATTTAACAATAATAAATAAATTATTTTTATTATTCGTTTTCAAGCACGGTCTTAAAAGATTTTATATGCGGTTTTAAAGTTAACTATAAAATAAGTGACGTCAACAAATCGCTCAACATCACTTACTTTTTTTGAAGACTTAAATACATTTACATTTAAAAAAGCATTAAAAGTTTGTTTGAAATGCTAAAGTAATTTTGTTTAATGACTAATGTAACATACAGTTTCACAAGATCAATACAATTACAATGACTAATAGATCTTTCAAAAGGTTCAAGATGGTTAGTAATTGAGTATAAAAATTATTTTCGACTGTTAACTTATTGATTCCTACAATCACAGTGAGTAATTTAAAAAGAAAGATTTGTTTATTAATACTTTTTGTTACTTTTTGTCAATCGGATAATTACGTTATACAATAAATAATAAAGTTTACCTAATAAATAAAAAGAAAAAGGATTTAACAAGTATATAAGCAGTTGCAGGGAATCATTTAGCTTTTGTGGCTTATGTTTTTTACTTTTATATTTTATGTCAATTAAATTTAAAGAAAAATTGCAGATAAATGTTTTCAAAAGTCTCAAAGTTACAGATTTTTTTTATTTGCTTTGTTTTACTTTAACGGTAAGTTATAAGAGTTTATTAGACTTTTTTAAAAAATAAATACTAAGATAAAATGCATTATATATATATATATATATATATATATATATATATATATATATATATATATATATATATATATATATATATATATATATATATATATATATATATATATATATTGTATGTATGGTGTTTAACCCAACTCAAAAATCAAAAATTATATCAAACTCCTTCCCAGAATTGTGCATATCAGGCTGTAAAATTGCTTTTGTTTAATCTTTTAAATATTACCATCATTTCATACAATTATCTCGAACTACAGACATGCTTTTTGTAAACAGTTGATGGCTTGTTCCTTAGTGAATAATTCCATGCGTTTACTTGATCAAAGTTTAAAATAATATTTTTCTTGTAAAAACTATGGACCTGGCACATAAATTGTATCTGCTTATTGTCTGAAATATATTTATAAATAATAATAATAATAAAAATAATAATAATAATAATATATATATATATATATATATATATATATATATATATATATATATATATATATATATATATATATATATATATATATATATATATATATATATATAATTTACAGTTACAATAGAATAGTTTTTGTATTGGGTTATATAGTTTTATATAGTAATAATCGTTTCAAAAACCAACATTTTATTTACAAAGTTGCTTTATATCACGTTTAACTCAGAGCTTTTCTTTTCTAACCTTCAGAGCTGCTAAGTTTTGATGTCGTTTGCAAAATCACTTTTAATAGATAGTGTTGCAAAATTGAAAAGCCATGACTGTCCCTTGGTTGATCATAAATAACTTTTTAAGTTTTTGTTTTGAAAAACATCTCTAGCATGAAACTACAGACTCGCAGTTTGTCAAAAAGGTTTTTAGTTTTAGTTGGAGAATAGGGAGAAGTTTTAGGAAGTTTTACCGATGAATTTCACATTTACCGATGAATTTCACATTTACCGATGAATTTCACATTTACCGATGAATTTCACATTTACCAATGAATTTCCCATTTACCAATCAATTTCCCATTTACCAATGAATTTCACATTTACCAATGAATTTCACATTTACCGATGAATTTCACATTTACCAATGAATTTCACATTTACCGATGAATTTCACATTTACCAATGAATTTCACATTTACCGATGAATTTCCAACCGTTTAATACTGATCTATGTTTGACTCTTTTTATATCAATTTTTGATATTTTCAGCTTTTAATCAATTTTAATCAATTTTTGATATTTTCAGCTTTACTTTCATTAAAAACTCTTCTTCTGATAGTGATTAATTTTAAAATGGACACCAGTAATTTTTTATCAGCTAAAGTGAGGCTTTTGAATTGAATACTTGATTGTTCTACATCCGATTTGGAGTTTAGAAAGAAAGCTTGTGCATAAAGTGATGCCTAGTGTTCAACAAAATGCAAACATGGCTTATTGATCTTCTGTTTTTTTTTCTTATTAAGAATTTCCATCATCCCTTGCTTGCTCTCATCCATCCTCTTTTTAAATTAGGTTTTTCTTTTCGGTAATATTTATGCCTGTTCAATTTTAGAAGAGTTTTTTAGAAGGGTTTAGAAGGGAATTTTAGAAGTCAATTGTACCTGTATTTTTTGTGCTAAAAAATCTTACCGTCTCTAGCTTTATTACCACTTTTTCAAAAATTAAACCTTTAATCTTCAAGTCTAAAGCGTGTTGTTGATGGTCTTTTCACTGACCTTTCAGTGTTTTCAATTAAAATATTGAATCAAAATAAAAGACATCATTTTTTTGGCTAAAGTGATCTTTCACTTCAAATTTCCCATTGCAGTTGCAAAAGTTGAATTGCGGTTAGTTTTTTCCAAGATATTTTCCAGATTTTATATCGGCTACAAGCTGTCTTTTTACAGAATTGGAGCATTTATAAACTCATTCTGAATGTTTGTGGCAAAATAAGATACTGATGCTTTAAATTCATATGGACACAGCTTTAATTTCAGGAGATTCAGTGGATCGTATTTAGAAAAGCAACTCACCTCAGGAAATTTCCTTTTTCTTAACAATGGCTTATCTTTTTGTGGCCACAAAATACGAGGTTCTGCTTGACGGATAATAATGTGGTATTAATCAACCAGTGAAAGATGTCTTTTGTTTTCTCATTGTATATCAAATGTAAATTTTGGTTTCTGCAGCTTTAGTCCCCCTGTCAATGTTTCAGCTTTTCAAGGCAACGTAGATGCTCTTTGGATGTTTCATGATTATAAGATTTGAGTAGTTTAATCCTGTTCATCATTTTGTCTTTTAACAGTTTAACATATTAAATACAGTGTTTAGTGTGATTCTTTTATTTCCTTTTTTTCTTTTTCTTTTGTTGATATTTCTACTCCGTAGCATGATAGAATTTAACAAGTTAACAGCAACAATTTTAAAAACATTTTTTCAAACCAAATTAGAATTACTCATTGCTATCCATTATTGAAAACTATTTATTTCACTTGAAGTTTTACATTAGTTTACAAAAGGCCGTACAAATGCAATCATTGTATATATTGTGGCACCTCTTTAAAAGAATGCTTACATTGATTATTGTACAGCTTTTGCCAGTGTAACTCTTATATTTATTTAAGTGGTATCTTAATTCTCAAAAAAGTAAGGTATCACCAAGGTTACCTCTGGCAAGATATCACCAAAAAGCAAGGTATTCTGGCAAGATACCACCAAAACAACTTTTTTAAATTAGAACTTTGCATAGTTTTTGTTTTAGTTCTGAAGATTCTATTTCTTTTTGAAAGTTTATTCCCACCAAAGTTTGAAGATATTTTATTGACCACTTATTTGTCTATTGAATTTTTTATATAACATTCTTTAAGACCTTTTAAAAATAACTACTACATACAAAATTGAAAAGTCATTATGCATTACTTTTTCTGATAAAAAGTTAAGTATAACTTTATATTTTGCAGAATATGTTATGCCATGCTCAAAAACCTTACTCAAAGTTCAAATTTTCTGAATTTGATTTGCAATATAAAAAACATGGAAGTATTTACAACATTGCAAAGTTGATTCAAATGATGCTTAAGCATATGTTGATACTAATAATAGAGAAAAGACTAACATGTATACTCAAAATATCTTTATCCAATGTGAAAGAATTTTTGTAAAAAAAAAAAAATCTTTTATAACATCTATTAACAGCAACACTCTAGGTAATAAAATGCTCTTTGATTCTGAATGACTCACTTAGAATCAGAGGCAATTTTACAAATAAAATTAGGGCGAATCTTTAAAATGTACCGACTGAACCAACTACAACTTGAAAATCACCTTTGAAGGTTGGGAGGGAGGGGAGGAGGTGGAGTACCAATCCCCCCTCCCCCGTTAAATTGCTTCTGCTTAGAATCACATAGAATGAATTAAAAGGACTCGGTGATTTTAAGTTATGCGTAACTTCGTTGATCAGTAAATTCATTTTTTGTTCTTTAGTTTTACTTTAAACGATATATTTATGCAGCCACAAACTCACCAAGTAAAATTATTAAAATATTAAATTCTTTTTGACTTACTGTTTGTACTGAATTTAAGTTTTAAGTTTTAAATTTAATAACAAGAAAGTTTTTTCAATATGATGCAAGGTAGCTCTACCTTGCATCATATTTAAAACATCATAACTAGGGATTGGAATCCCGTAGTGGGATCCCGCAATCCCGCGTTGTTTCAGGGCGTGCAAGTTCCAGAATTAACTAATACATGATCCGCTTGGTTTGAGGGATATAAATTACGCAATTCATTTATACAAAAAAGACACAAAATAATCAGAGATACTTAAATATAAACGTGCTTATAAAAGCAAAACACATTATTCTAGGATTGAATGGAACTAGTCGACTTAGTGGCAGAAAGGCTAAATAGTTTTAATCTTGACTGCCTAAATGAAACTGTCGACATAACAACTGATAGAGCAAGTGTAATGGTGAAAGTTGGTAGATTGATGCTTTCCTATCAACAAACTATGTTATGCCCATTCCAATATGGATTTTTTTTATCTTGTACAAGAAAAATAATGAAGAAGTTAAAGAACTGTTAACTACGTATGAAAATTGTGAAGAAGATGAACAAGATACTGCTGGTGGTGATGAAAGAAGATGAACTGCTGATGGTGATGAAAGAAGATGAACTGCTGATGGTGATGAAAGAAGATGAACTGCTGATGGTGATGAACAAGATACTGCTGATGGTGATGAAAGAAGATGAACTGCTGATGGTGATGAAAGAAGATGAACTGCTGATGGTGATGAAAGAAGATGAACTGCTGATGGTGATGAAAGAAGATGAACTGCTGATGGTGATGAAAGAAGATGAACTGCTGATGGTGATGAAAGAAGATGAACTGCTGATGGTGATGAAAGAAGATGAACTGCTGATGGTGATGAAAGAAGATGAACTGCTGATGGTGATAAAAGAAGATGAACTGCTGATGGTGATGAAGTTATACATAAAAAGAGCACTTCGTATAATTTTGATTCAACCATTTGCTGAATTAATTAGCAATTGCTAAGATTTTATTCCAAAGGAAAAAATTTGTGAAAATCTTTAAAAACTCTTCTGCTAAAAATGATAAATATTTACAAAAGTTTATCAAATATAAAAAATAGAAAAAGTTAAAGTTGATTCTTGATTGTCAGTTGATGCGGAACATTCTGCTCAATATGGTGGAACGATTTCATAAACTAAAGTTACATATTGATAAAGCTCTAATTGACATTGATTCAAAAGAAAATTCCACAAATAAAGAATGGTCACAAATTAATGATTTAAATCCTTCTGGAGGAAATTTCTGCCTATAAAAGTAATGGAGTATAACGCAAGTTTTACAACATAAAATTACTTGATAACAATATCACCAACAAGCGTTAAGACCGAGCCAGTTTTTCAGCTGCTTGTTATATACGCAGTCCTTTGAGAAGTAGATTGGGAGCTGACACTTTTAGTTGTGTCTGTTTATTAAGTATCTTGTAATGGTTCTCTCACATTTGATATTTAAAACAATAAGTTACGTTTTTTTTTTTTTTCAATTTTATTTTTGTTTTGTTTAATGAAAGTTTCAAATTATTTTGATTTACAAATGAATTGGTTTATTTTATTTACCACCGTTATAAATATTTTAAAAAATATCGATTTTTGAGCTTGAATGAATTACTGAACTACTCGAAGGATATGCACAATTGTCATTTTGTCATTTACAATGCGTATCATAAATCAAATCTACCAATCCCGTTTGGGATCCTACTGTATCCCACAGGAATTTAAAAATCCCTCGTGGATTCAGAGGGATTGAAAAAATATAAATGAGGTTTGGTGTTAGATTTACATATATACTCACACACTCAAGATTGTATGTATATATACAATCACACTTAAGGTTGGCAAATTATATTTTATACTTTTTATATATAATATAATCTGCATAATTTTACTTTTTTATGAGAAAAAATATATTATAATTTATATTTATTTATTATTCATTTATACTTATACTTATTTATATTTAATTATATGTCATATATTTTTTCTCATAAAAAACTGGTATATAAATTTTTTTTCCATCCATACTCATATAATCAGCATAGTATTCCCGTTCTCTTCTCATAAATTAAGAATTGCTTGCCTTGTTTAATGTAATATCATAGTAATTTATTAACTTAAATAAGAACTGTTTGCTTATATCAAAGGGAAATGCATGTCTATCTTGACAAACAAATAAGCAGCATTTGTTGACACAAATGCATTAAGTGCATTTTCAGCCAAAAATTTAATCAATTTTATAAGTAGCTTTGAAAATGTTTTGACAAGATTTTAGTTGCTATAATCCTGTCATTTTGAATGTCATCATGCTACACTAGTTCGGGGTCTAAGCTCTTTTAGCTAAGAGTGAAGGCTTGTGACATATGGTTACTAATGTGTGCATTCTTTGATCAATCGAAATCTATTCTATAGGTCTTACGTCTAGATATGATGTGCTAGCCCATAAGTACAAGAAGTGAGTATGTTTAACTTTCTTTTTACCCGATTTGAAAGTGGACGAAAACATAACGAGAACATAACAGACAATAAAACGAAACTATCCGATGCACCACACCATCACACCTGTAGACATTAACAGTCTTAAATATAATTTTCATTTTTTTATTTTATACGTTACTTCGCGTTTTTAATTTTTGGTTATTATTTTATAAGCTAACTCATATACCACAATCGAATTACCAGGTTTTCAATTTAGCGGATATATTACCATTTGCATCTAAATCCACCTATTCCATTTCAGTATTGATTAAAATATTTTAATATATTCGGTCCATGAATTTATATACGAACAAATTCTATATTACTATGTACCTACTATTGTAGGTTTGAGTTATTAGATAATATTAGAATAGTTTATTTAGTTTTTATACATCTTTTGCGTATTATTATATAATTATTATCACGCATCTATTTTCCTATTTTATCTTATATAAGATTTATATTTACATTTTATAATGCATTACTACATTTTTATAATATTTACTGGTGAGCAACGACTTTCTACAGTGTACTTCACTATGACAATACCGACATTAGGTTATCCTGCTGGATGTGGTTGCGGTGCTTAAAACGTAATGACTGAATATGATGCTAAACTAATGTGATCACTTGTAAAAATTTCTGATAAGTTCTGACAATAAAATTGTAAAATTTGGTTACAAAATACGTGCAGATCATTGTTCCACATATAACGAGTTGATCGTCAGGAACTAGAAATTGACAGTTACGAGCTGTTATGTAATATAATGTTTTTTAGTGGAATAAATTTTTTGAGTGAATTAGACCATTACACAAGTTTTGTATTTTCTACTTTTAAAGGGGCACTATTAGCTTTTGCAGAAACAAATTTTAAACTTATACTTTTAAGGTTATACAAAAAATTGTCATTTGATGAAATGATGTAATTCCATTTGAAATGTCATTCCAGCAAAAGTAGCCAAACTTAACTATAAAACTAAATCTTTTGGATCTTTATTTTATTAAAAATAATTAAAACAAATATTTGATAAAAAAGAAAACTTTGCTTTTTTTTTTTGGCAAGTTTACTTAAGTCTGCTGGATTAAATCCCCGACAGTTTGAACGAAAATTTTGTTTCCTCTTAAAATTCTTTAGCTTGGAAGAACTAACATACCTTAACCTGTCTGTGAATCATATTGAAAATCATTATAAGCATATAGCAATTTAGCCGCAGGGTTTAGACATTATTTTCTAATTGTGATGTGGTATCTGATAGATGATGGACTTGTACAACTCAAGTACTCCAGGTACTTTAGATCACTAGCTAAATAAATGGAGATCAAATTTTTTAATGAGTTCTAAACAATTTTTTACCTACATATATTAAAAGTAAATTTCATAAGTTTTTATTTCATAACTTTTTCTTTGAATTGGTTACATTGAAGTATGCATTGTAAAGTAACTACCAAACATGCATTGTAAAGTAACTACCCAACATGCATTGTAAAGTAACTACCCAACATACATTGTAAAGTAATTACCCAACAGGCATTTGTTTTTAAAAGTTACATTCTAAATATATTTTAAATGTCTTTTAAATGTCTTCTAAACATTTAAAAGACGTTAAAAAAACGTTTAAAAGGTATTTAGAACGCAACTTTGAAAAACAAATGCCCGTAGGATAGTGAAAGTTACAGAGATGGGCGCATATAGCTTGAGCAGGCTTTTTAAGAGTTGATTTTTTTAGACTGTACATTAAAGTGGAGTGAAAAAACCTTTTTTTAGAAATTTATTTGAGCTGGGTATGGAAAAGTTGCCTTTGGGTACAAAATGAACTGTGGTAAAAGCATTTTGCCCTAGATTAATATTTAGGTCTGCCCCAAGGCACTTGAAAATTTGAGTTTTTTGTTAATTTCGCAATTTTTGGTTTAAAAAATAATAATTTCCTATCATTGCAAATTCATGTTGGCTGGGTATGCAAAAGGTGTCTTTTAGTTCAAGGTAAACTGTGGTAAAAGCATTTTGCCCTAGGTTAATTTTTAGGTCTGCCCCAAAGCTCTCGAAAATATGGGTTTTTCGTCCATTTTGTGGTTTTTGGCGAAAATTTAATAATTTCCTATAAATGCAAATTCATGTTGGCTGGGTATGCAAAAGTAGCCTTTTAGTACAAGGTAAACTGTGGTTAAAGCATTTGGCCCTAGGTTAATAATTAGGTCTGCCCCAAGCCACTTGAAAATTGAGTACTTTAATTTAAATCCATACAAAACCAATTTCGTACATATTTCAGATTGTTTATAGGCATATTAAATAACATTACAAATATATAATATATCCAAGAACTTCACAGTTGTTTAAATCTTTATAATTGAAACTGAGACTTAGTGTTGAAAGTTTTTGTCTTTGATCTCAATTCCAGTGTGGCACGAATCATTCCATCTCTGCGATCAAAACCGCAAACAGTAGCTGATGCTTCAGTAACAAGCTTAACGTGTCTTTCAGTTGACTGAGTGTGACATGGAAACTCTGGAATGTTTAAAACTGGTTCAATCAATGAAACACCATTTGCAAATGACTTTATTTCATGAGTTGAGATGTTCTTTGTAGCAGGGGGCTCGCTTTTCTGGACAACACTCCAGTTGATTAGATTAGTGTAGTCATCTGCTTCGAAATTAAATTTCGGCTCACGAAAGCGTCTTAGTGACTGACTGTTTTTTTTGTTTTGTCCTTCATACCATCGAAGTACAAACCTGTTAGATTAGAGGCAAGGTGGGATTGAAGTTCATTTCTAACCTTCTGTCTTTCTCTTCGAATTTTACTTCTATCAATAACAATTGTACTGTCACAGTCATTCACGATACCAACGTCTTGCAACACGGCACTAGCAATGGCTGCAGCAGCAAGATCTGAAATGCTATGGCGATCACATTCCTTTGAGATATTTGGAATGTTTGCTCTCATCTGTTTTTTCTCTGCTGTTCCAGTAGTTGGAACCTTATGTATTGAGGGAAAATGGACATCAGTATCGTTGTCAGTTTCAGTATCAGAAGACGAATTGAATTCAACAATATTTGAAGACAATAGGGAGTTAGATGTAGTGGCTGTTGTTGGAGTTTTGTAAATATTGGAAAGTTTTCTTTTGCGATTATCGCGTTCTTTCAATCGATTTGTAACAACTTTATCTATACTTCCAATCATCATATTTCTTGTACTTCTTTGATCTTCTAAAAATGGTCTTTCTGCAACTGGTACTTTAAAACTTTTCTCACAATTGCAGTGATTTATGTCCAAGCATTTGCAGACTGCAATGTCAAACAACTGGGAATTAACTTCTGTACAAAACTTTTGCATCTTTGCTTGATAGTTAGGATCATTCTGTCGCCTCTTTAAGGGCTTGAGCATATTTCGATGTTTGTCATGAAGTTCTTTTATCTTCGCTACAGTCCGCTTGTGTGTTATAATTGGAATCGATGTTTTGTGCCACAATGCTTC